AATTAAAAATAGCAGGGGTGAAAGATAACCGTCTTTAATTCTCCAGAGGATACATTAAAATAAGGTTAGATTTAATTTCCTATTTTAACTTGTTGAATTCGGTCAGATAGGTATGAGTTGAACCATTGAAGAATTGGATCTCGTATCAATTCTAGAATATATAGCAAATCAAGGCGGCAACTTCGACTCGAATTTTTGAGACGACTTGAATCATGTTTAGAACACGATGGTGAAAATTTTGAACAATACATACGATCAATTTATTTAATACATTTTATTTTTTATTATAATATTAATATTACTATTATCATTATAAATATTTTGTTTTGCATTTAACCAATGCAGTTGACGAAATATCATGAAAAATAATCATAATAATAATAAAAAAAATCACTAAAAATAATGTTTAATTATTTCACAATTATTTTAGTGTTTCCAGTGGTTATAAATAAAAATTTCATTAAACACGAATTATACAGAAATCCAAATTTTGACTTACTCTAATTTGGTCAGTTTTATAAATAAAAAAAAAACTTTGAATACAAAAAATAAAAAAATAAAAAAATAATCTATCCAAATATGTAGAAAAAAAATAGTGTTTCCATTTAAAAAAATGTAATTTGTATTGCGCATGCGCATACCAAAAGTGTTACAAATTTGAAATTTATCTGAAAATATGTATTTAGGTACTCCCTATCACTTCCCGAAAACCCTATTTCAATACAAGGTCATCCGCCAGAGATATTTAGTATTACCTTAAATCGTCATCACACTGTATACTGTTGACAAATTAACATTATTAACTAAACTATCCAGATGTAATTATTCTGAGGGTAATATTATAATATACCATAATATAATTTGTTTATTTCCAAGATTAAAAGTTAAAACAAAATATACAGTCTATCGTTTCAATTTTTTCGGCCTACGTCACTCTACAGTTTTATGAGAATAACTTTTTCATTTTCGTCCAGATGTTTATAAGTTCGTTAGTAAGTGTAGGTCCTTTATTATATTGAATGTTGTCTCGACTTTCTCGTTCGGTCGACAACGTTGCTTTATTGCGTTTCAAAACAATAGAAAGCGGGGGCGGCCGCTCCGAAAGGTCACCTGGTCCGGTATAAGCCGACATCACAAACGCATGAGGGTAGTCCCAAATCCGAATAATACACGTCATAATATTATATATTTTTTTCCGACATTGTGAAGAGTTTTTTTTTTTTCGACAGCGAATTTATCTTCATTTGAATTTCTATTCGACTGTCTGTCCGCGCCACTGTACGACCTTTACACGCCGTATTCGCGTTTATTTCCTTCGAAATTGCCATGGCATCCGTCAATTTATACCTATTCAAATATTATGTATTTTCGATTCCTCCCTTTTTATCGTCGTGCCGCATAGTGTCATTGCAGCAATAATAACACCACGACACGGATTGAATCAATCAAATGTCACCGCCAAGCGTGTTTCTAAAACATCTGGCGAATAACTTGGTTCGAATTGAAACTACAAAACGTCACCTTTGTATTTTCAGTTGATATTTTATTTAAGGGCGATAATAAATTTAGAGTATGGTGCATACTGCATTAGTGTACCTATTAAATTATCATTATAATTATATTTTGAGAATTTCGTGAGTTTTAAATTTTCCTAAACGAAAAATTAATAATTGTTTACATGTACTTTCCGAGGTAATGCGTGGTGTACATTAAAACTATCTTACAGTATACAATCTTAATTTTAACACGAATAAGAAGAACTCGATAGATCCCAATATTTTGTTATATGAAAGAGTGGATCCAAGATGTGGACACTGAGATACATCGCCATCTCTGTTCCCAAACACACTTTACTACTGATTTATATGTAAAATTATATGCATCTTAATATGTATTAAAATATACATAGAAAATCCGTATTTTTTATTATTTTAATTTTTTTTTTTTTCCAAAATATGCTTTTATTACTTTGTCTATATTTTTGAAAGTGGCCCAATTCTTTATTTAAAAGTTTGCATGTTCTTTACGTTAAATCCGATATCGAAATTACACACTTATTTTTTAAGTCGTCAATAAATAAACGAATAAATGCAGTCAGAAACTATTAATTTTAAAAAAAAAAATGGGTGGAGGAAGGAAATTACATTCTATGCCACTTATTAAATCTATGGTAATTGCACCGACCGTGAACAGATAATGGACCAGTGTATATGCAATTTTTAGTCAAAAGTATTCAAAAGTGTTTACTTTTATTTTTTTGAAGTATAGTTGACATTTTTAAAACATCAAAATCTAACCGAGCTTTCGTGGGAATCGTATTTATTTAAACGCGGTCATTGTTATAAATTTAAAGTGATAACAAAAAAAAAATCTTTGATTGCACGTACTTCTCAAAACCTAAAGACTCATATTATCATATTTAACTCTTATATTACGTATATAGTTTTGTAAGTCAACTTGTCTGCCACTGATACAGTGTATAATATAACATAAAAAATAATATCTTCTCTCATAGCCATTACAGTTAATTCACAATACGACGCCCTAACGTCCCGATAGTTTTAATTAAAACAACTTGAATAAGTACAATATTTTATCGTTCATCTTGTTAAGAAAAGAGAAGTGCAGTGCCGCACACAGTCTTATATTGTTAATTAGTCACAGCGATCGCGTTGCATTTTTAAAATATTACATTTAAATATATAAATGCCTTACCTAGTGAAATGTTCATATACTAATTTATGTTTCTAACCGTACAACCATGAAGGCTAAACTAGATAACTAGAGTATTGATCTCTATAATTTATAGTTATGAATTGTCTTACTTACATGGTAATAATAATATAATGGCGCATAAATAATCCGGTAGCCCAGCACTATTAGAGTAGACAGTAGAGCATTTTCAACATTTTTAAGTAGATATCTATTAACGAATGCCTCTATTATAGACGACATTTTATTGAAATTATATCGTTATATATCCAGATAATATGGTTTTAATTAAACTAAAAGAGTTTAAAAAAAAATCACCTTTCGAAAATTTCACGTCGGTTATAGACGGGTTAAGTCTTATTTAAATATACTCGTATATTATTTTCTACAAATCTCCCACAATACTAATATATATGAACGAAATGAATTATATTTTTGAATTATCATCAAAATAACTCTGAAACAAATTTCGTTCGAAGCGAATATACTTACCGTAAACCGTTTGATGATTTTTTTTTCTTGGTATTCTTGTCGAACATATTTATAAATATTTATCGAAAAATGACCTTTTTCAAGTACATCGTTTAAAATGCAATATCCTACATCGATAATCGTGTCCAATGTAACTTTTCAAGCGTTTTTACTACTTCAATAAGTTTAAAATGAAAAAAAAAAGTCATACAACATTGTAAAACTAATACACATTGTTGATATGTTTAGGAAATAAAATGTCGAATACTAAATTTTAATGACGTATACCAGATCATTTTTGCAACTGAATATCTATTTAAACATTTGAAATATATTAATATAATTATCGTATTTGTATTTTTAATAACGCATAAACGTGATTTTTCATTCTTAACTTATTGGCTTAAAATATATATTTGTTCAATGTTTTTATCGTTATTCTTCTGGTTTTAAATTTCCGAATCAGTACTAATAGTTTTTGAACAAATTGTGAGTAGCGTTAGGTTGGTATTTCATTGTTAGAAAAACTTTTTAAAACACATTATCTAACAATGTTGAAACAGACTTGTTGGAGCCATCCGCCCTCCAATTTATTTATTCCAAGTTAAACTTAGTACGAATTATACATTGAAATAGTATTACAATAACCATACCAATAAACAATATTACTAAACCATAATAATATCTTTTGTTGATTTTAATTAGCTACATCTCGATAAATAAATATTTTAGACTCAGGGTGAAGCGAGGGACATATTTTATTTCCCAATGGGTTTTCATAATAATTGGGAAAAACCGGACAAGATATTGTCCGAAAAATAGTAAATATTTACAGTATACAACAACGTTACCGATTTCATCGTTTTTAATTTTTTCAAACTATTTTTTTTACTAAAAATATTGCTCCAATAGAAAAATGACAAAGGACCTTTTTTATTTAATTTTGGATTTTTACGAAGAAAGTTTTTTTGTTTATTTTCTATGTAAATTTCATAAAAGTTGGAACAAACATAAAATGAAAACTGATACATTACCGGCGTACGATTCCTTTATTTTTAATTGTTACGAATTAAAAACTGAAAAAAAATTTTAAAATAACTGAACATTTTACAAGAATAATGGTTTTATAATTTTAAATTTTGTTTTTTTTTTTTTGTTTTAATTCAGATATAAATATTCGTAAAGACTTGAGACTTTGATAGAAAAATAATATTTACTTTTTCGAGACGTGGTAAAATTTCAAAAACCTTTAAACCATTTTTGCGCTATTTGTAAACATTTTCTAATACATTAAATATTTAATGTCTATAAAATAAACGATCAAGATGACGTAATAGATAGAATTACCAGTTCCATCACAAATCACATCTATTAAACAGTGTCACTACTTAAATGCACCTCGTATTAACTTACAATATTATTCACGCGTTTCACTCACATTGCAGAGGCGCCCTAATTTAAGCTACTATGGCAGTCAAGTGGAAGTCGCTAGTGTTGTGCCACACACGTCACTTTTTAATCACTAATCTGGGCTTACTCAGCAGAGGCACACGTTTGCTTATTTTAATCCTAACCCACCTATACTTTTCCAAACCTATGCGACAGTTGCAGATACCGTAGGCAAGCGGTTGTATTTGGTTACCCCGTATTTCTTATAACCTGGTAGTTGTACTGATTGCCATTTTTGTTTTTACCATACATCTGTTAAATATTCTTCGTAATACATTATAATTATACACATCACATTGCCCTCGATTGGTTTGAACATAGTTCAACATAGGGTCACTCGTGCTCGCCTTTCGGGCCAAACGGTTGGCTATAATTCCCTACAATACAAATGTACGCAGTACATTGCCCCCGGTTTTTAGGTTAGAGTGTTAGAGGATTCATGTCTGTTTAGAATTTAAATAAACCAATTTGTGTTTAAATTGTAACGATACGTCGATACCTACATTTCTTTATACTTTGCTCCTTACGTTCGAGCAGCGAACTGCAAGCTGAATACCCGAGGTAAGTGACAACTATCGTAATTTTGTGATTGGACATCAAGTAGAATAAATAGGTAAGAAAGAAACAACATTTCAAAAATAGTCAATACTTTTTGAAATAATGAGTGATTAACGTTTAAGATGCGATTATACGCTTAGATAACAAATAATCGCTTAGAATCATTTTTCGTTAGCAATGGTTTGTCGTTGCTTACAGATATAAATTAAATAACTTTATGTGTCCTACCTACTCGACTTCCCACCCACAACAGTGGCACACCCATCCCCAGTATCAGCATTTTATTTTTCAATGTACACAACAGTTAGATAGTATATTGGTATAGAAATTGCACGTATACTTCTCATGGGGAATGTTAAATATCGCAAAGGATAATATCATATATAGGTTATAGGTTAGTATAAACAATTAAGTACCTATACGAAAGTCGTAGCCGTAGTAACGACACGTTTTCACGTTCCTATCTAATAGTTGTTACTTGCGAGTATGTTATTATGTATAGGTAGTATATTCATGGACCTCTAGTGAAAATTAACTTTGACGTGACCGACACCCGATTCACCGCGTCATTAATACGATTAGCTTAAATTTAGTACCGCAATTAGATGTAAACTTTTAAACGTGTAAACTAAATTGCATGTGGAACAGGTCGTACCGTCGTGCACGTCTACAATAAATTACCATTCACGCGTTCATTTTGAGACGTAGTAAATACTCTTAAATATGTACATGTAATTTTAAAGAACAAACAAATAAATCGGTGATTTTTTTTCCATCTAAAAACCGTTACTCAGTCAGAAAATCTCGCATACACCATCGTAGAGAGTTTTTTTTTTTTTTTTGAAACAAACTATTTTCACCAATCTTATTAGAATGTTTTTCGATCAATTCTACGAGATGTGTATATTTTGATTGACAAATCGAGAAATTTTGACATTTTTTGCATACCAATTTCGAAGCATGAATACTAATGCCTACAAAGCAATCCATTTGTTATGAACCAGCGATTTTCTATGAATATATTTTAGGTGAGTTTGATTTCAGTTTTTTCAATCATTATGGAGTCGTTCAAGTTTTATTTTCTATACCTTAAAATCTTAGACGAATATGTACTTTTGAGTTAGGATTTTTAAATAGGAACTACTTCCTATCTTTTTGATTAAAGATTTGAATAAAGAATTTTTTTTTTTTTTTAAATATAATATTGAATTTACGGTTTATAAGTTATAACAGTTTAAAATTTTGACCGTAGAAGGGAAATAAGTTCTATACCTATTTTTAGATGAAAAATGCATACCTCTCCCCTCTTCCTCCGGTCTAAACTTTAAACTTTTATAATTCAAAAACGAAAAATCTGATATTAGTGTTATACATTATTTTTAGAAAATTATCCGTTATTTGAATCTATGGGATTAAAAGAGGAGTTGCTATTTAAATATCCAAAGTGTAAACTCATTTCAGATATAGAAGGTATGGATAAGAAATTTAAAATAGTGATAAAATAAAGCTTAAACGATTGTAAAACGATTAAAAAAATAATAATAATAATCAAATTTACTTAAAATACTTCGAGAAAATCACAGGTTCGTAATGGCTCACCCTGTACACAAAATTAATTTTTGGGACAATATGGAAATACGACGACGTATTGATTTTACGGTATAATAATATTATTATAAAAGCGTTTCGTTTAACATGGTAGTATGTACCTTTATACACGAAATAGTGTAGGATTTATCTCGACGGATATATTGAAATGTAATTCAAGAATATTGAAACGTTATAGTATTGCATAGTCATTATTCGATTCCGCTGTTGTTAACTTCTACTTCAGAAAAATAAAAGGTAGGTATATTAAATGGGTACCTAATGTACTTACCTATACAATAATGTTTTACAACGGACGATCACGTTAACCAGGCGGCTTGTGAGATTTGCAAATGCAGTGTGGTAAATATTTCGGAGATGGGATTACATGGACAGGGCATGTATAATATACCTATACCTATAATCAAATACATACAAAATGAAGACACGGAGCTGTTATTATAATTTGTTGATTTCATTGACTTCAGTTTTCAGTATGATTTTACAAATTTGAACACATGTTAATACTTATACATATTTTTCTGAAACCGATCAATACTATATTTTAAACGAAACTAATTGTTTTAATTTTTTGAAATTATGATATTTGTATGATAAACTAATTATATTTTTATTGTAGACGAAAGAGCGCTTCCGGCAAGCCACTACTGACGTTACGATGTAAATCCGGTGATTGCAAAATTGCGGCCATCGCGAACGAAATTATAACCGAAGTTTGTGATGGTCACGCTCGTGGCAAATGTGAGTGCTGGCGTGCAAACAAGAACAGACGATTGTGCATTGTGATTTCTAAGAAAATGTATAATTTTCGTAAATTTATTGAAATAACATGAATAGAAATATAGCATACAAAATAATTTGTACTCTGGAAAAGCACATAACTTAATTACTATTTGTACACAAAGTATAAAAAATATACGTAATACTTACACCCTGAACTCTTATAGGTACTTAATATTATTTAACAATATTGGTATCTGGTACCTGCTATCTACAATTTATTTCTATTTACATTTTAAACCATCAAATGAGCTTTTAGACTTGTGTAAAATCAAACAATTAGGTATACCTTTCCCAGTTACGCCACTGGGTTGCGTATTTGTACACTATTCTTCTCGTTATCTGAATTTTACCCGTTTCGCAAGTGTGTTATCGAAAATAACTATAACAATATTAAGTACTATTGGGCCAGTATGCGAAACATGTGATACTAATGTAAAATTGTTACCTAAAATTCCAGAATACCAAGCGCAATATCGGCATAAATGTGTCAGGTTTCCTACAGGAAACGACAAATTGTGTTGACAAAATTTCACGTTCTTCTCGATAAAATTTCTATTGTTTGATCTTTGAAATATTAAATATTTAACAATACCAGGCGGGTAGCGCAAACCAATCTTAGTGAATTTCCTTTCAAGTCGAACCATAATATTATAATAGGGACGTGATATTTTAGACAATCACATTATAAAATATGTCGCCTATTTCAAAGAGAATCATTTCGTTTCATTTAGATTGAATTATGATATTATAATATTATATTTGGCGAAATACAGACGTAACTTTCGTGTTAATTTATAAAATAAAAAAAAAAAACTGACACCATTGAAACCACTGTGGAAGGTGGGACGTTGGAAAGGTAGGGACAGTAATATACTTAGAATTTTTTTTCTTATATTATGATGGTAAACCATTGCTATTGAAAAATGATTCTGAGTGAAGTTCTCTGAAAATTTCAAACATCTATAATTATTTTTGACCGAATTACTGCAATAAAGAAATCAAAATCGAAAATAACGAAAATCGTAATTCCGTAAATCTTTCCAATTTTTCTACATTTTTTCCCGATATTAAGAAAACTACTAATCAAAATCAAAAAATAACATTCTCAATGCACTTACTAGGGAACATTTTTTTCAGAAAATGTTCTTCATTTGAAGATCGGAGTAATATTTCTGGTGGAAAATTGTGTACAGATAGAGAAAAAAACACACACATCATAATAAACCAATACATTCAACCTTTTAAGTCTTCAAAGTGTTCAAAAAATTATTCACAAATATGTTTCAAAAGGTGACAGTAAAATCTAACGCTTTGTTCCCGTTTGAATATATTTATATGTTACGGGAAAAGTATATAAGTTGGGCATTAATGATAATGCCAATATGATATAATGAATATGCTCGTATACAAACATGTATATATATTTATACTAATAGAAAATATTTAATTTTTTTAAATTTTAATATCGCTTATTGTCACATGTACTGCTTCCGTGGCATTTTGATGTACATAGCAGCTCCGCTGCTTTGTATCTGCGTTTGCGCATTTTAAATTTTTGTACACGCGTACATCGATCGTTGCCTTAACCACCCAAATTGGAAAATGTCCGTGCTGTCTCTCAGAATGAAATTTTTGTATGTGGCACATAATCGACTTTTAGAAATCTTTCTTTGCAAGTTACAAATTGGTTTCTATTGTATAAAGTCAAAAGTCGGCCTTTATGAGTCCCGATTTCGTACATACTATTGTTAACTGTAAATACAGACACGTAAGTGCAAAGCAATGGAGCGACTATGTAAATCAAAGTGCCTCGGAATCAGTACATGTGACAATAAACGATATTCAAATTGAAACAAATTACGTATTTTCTATTAATATAAATATTATACAATATATCACTATTAATTATATCTTATTGACATTATCTATACTGTCCAATATATGAAGGGTATTTTATAAAACGCCCAGACATTGTACGAAAATCCCAAATTATATACTTTATCCGTAACATATATATAGATAAAGGTTATTCCTCTTTCGAGTTTACAAATATAATATTGTAGTATACATTATTTGAACAAATATCCACGAATCACGAGTATTTTGTCTCTTCGTAAATCAATGCGAAAACTCTTATAATATGAAATAAGTGTGTCCAAAACCCCAAAGGAAGTTTTAACGGTATATTTTTAAGCGAATATCAATACATTGTCGGAGAGGAGGGTATTCGGATTTCGAGTTTTGACCATAGCAAACTACATATGAACATCGATTACAAAAGTTGTACTCGGGTATTATTTTTCTTATCGAAGAAGTTTTCCAGTTAACTACCTACTCTAGTATGTCATAGAAACAAAATGATTAGAGACGCGAGTTCCACAGCAAGTCGTATTTTGGATTACTTTTTGGCGTGGTTTTTTTTTTTTTTTTTTGGATTGTAACTGTTTGCAGTTTTAACGTAATTTTAAACCGTGCTTACACAACAGACGAAATGCCGGTAATTTTTTTTTTTAAGCATGGTCTTTGGGAAACAGCTGTATATTTATCCCCCATAGTTTGGCCATTTAATAAGATATCCGCAGTATATACTTAAGGTAATGTTTTTAATCAATGTAATATTTACTGGCGTAAAGAGTTTGGAGTTTCTTTTGAAATATCTAAAGGAGAATAAATAATTAATTATCACTAAAACTTAGGACAGTCTTTATAGTCGAATTTTTTTTCCCCACGACTAAAATCGGATTTTACAAATATTGTTTATTCTGAAAACAACGATTCATTATCGTCTCTTTTGTTTTTAAAACGGAAATGCATCCGTGCCCAAACCCGAGTGGCGTCTTCGATTTAATTGCCTCTGACTTGCAAATTAACCATGGTTCTTTCAGAATTCATGTACTTGACTTTTTAAAACCAGCAACTTCATAAATATAGTGATAAAATTTCATGGACAATTATAAAGATAATTTAATTTTAAAGTCAATTGAACTAAATTTTTTTTATGGGGGGAGACTCGTTACATATTGGTTACATGTGTTACACATTTTCTTGAAATATGATTATCATGATATTATAATCGTAAAATACCTATATTATTTATCAAACAATGTGTAAATTCATTTTTGGGAGTTGGCAAATTTGATGTATGGATTTGGAAAATGTTTAATCAAAGCCCACCATTGATTTTTGTTAGCGCTGACTTTGAATGAATATTATAACTACTAACTATTATGGCAGTTACAATATTATGGTAGTAGTTTTAATCTAAATCAGCCTTTTGTTAAATTCTTTTTACGTTCTTGGGTAATAATTTTCTAATTTTGATGTTTGAGAGACGACCGAACGTTGAAAATACAAATATATCTATATTTAAAAACACGAAAAAAAATATTTTATTGAATTGCACGATACATCTATTATGGAAATTCAAATTTAGTTTGACCAAGTATAATAATTATTTCTAGCTCCAATTTGATAGTGAATAAACTACAAAATTCCAAAACAAGATAAAATCGAAGATTCTATAGATCGTGCAATAGAACTTTATACATTATTTTCCTCCTCTGTGAAATATTAATTTTCTTTTTTTTTATTCACCTCTCCCCCTACCTTTTTATCATTGACATGATCCCGAATTGAATTCGTAGATTTTTTTTTTTTTTTGAGGTTAGCATATACAACGTCTGCAGCAGACCGTTATACCACACAATTCCCTGTTGTGTAGCATTCATTCCCATCGGAGTAATTCCTGGCAATGACGGGGTCAGGTATATATTGTTGTTAACGCCTTATATTCAATTTACAAATGTTAAAATCGATTTGCATATACAATTTAATATATTGTACTCCGGCCGTTTGCATTCATGTCCATGTAATACAGCACTATATTGAAAGCCGTTTTACTTCAGTAATTCGCTAAAGAAGACAGCGACAGCCTCTCCCCCCCTCCCCTAAACAATTTCCAACCTTTTAGTTACTTTAACGTTGTTATTGTATTGCAGTTTAATATGATATGATTATAATATTTCAATATCCGTTACGATTCTTTTACAAGGCCGTTGCATATAAGTATTATAGCAGCGATAGAAGAAACAAAAGAATTAGAATAAATGTCCAATCTCATCTTTACACGTACCATCATATTTATTTTCTCCGTTTACTTTTTATATTAAAAAATAAATACAATTATTACGATTTTCAAAAACATAGTTACTTTTATAATACTATGGCTTTAATACGGATTACCAAGTAATACAAATTCATGTTAATTTTCAGGGTTTGCTAGTGCAGTGGTCTTCGACCTTATTGGACTCGCGACCCACTTTTTTAGACCTACATTTTTCGCGACCCAAAACTTTTGTAAAAAGCTAAAACTGCTTAATGCTTTGCAGTAGTACTATTAAAACTGAATAAATAAAAATTACATTTTAGTAGGTAGAATATTTAATTATTATTAATAAATATATAGAATCCATGTGAAAATATAAAATAAAAATATTATAAAAAAAATTTAATGTGAACTTTGTCCTTGATTGTTTTCACATAATAAATTCCACCTTGGCTTAATTTGACTAAGCGTGATTCGTAAATCAGCTTCAGTTTGAAGTCTATTTCTTTTAGACGTTTTCAAATTTGCCATAGTAGAAAACGCCTTTTCGCATAAATAAGTCGATGGAAATATTAATAAAATTGAGATTGCTTTAGTTGCTAATTCTTAGTAATTGCCCGTGCATAAACGTCCCCAAAATATTTCCAATGAAGTTTCGTAAAACATATGTTTTAATTTATTATCACATGATAGCTCAATTAATTGATTTTCAATGTCGGTAGACATATTTACTGTTATTATATCTACTGCGAATGGTTGTTCAATCCACTTATAATTTACTCGAATATCCTCAGGAAAATATTGGTTAAATAATTTTTCTAAGTTTGTCAAATGTTCGTTGTCTAATTCAGAAATATCTTCAAACTTGATTGAAGAATCTTCTTCTAAAAACTCACTAACGTTGGTTAAATTATCAATATTTCCAGAATATACTCGAGCTTTTATTTATTATTATTATTTACGGATACGTAAATACGACTAGATTCTAGTCACTAGAATAATAACGCGACTAACATTTATATTACCTACTTCTCAGACAGATAGT